CCAATAGTGAAACATTTTGCTTCCACGTGGAACTTATTTTTGCCCGCGGAGTAACTCACGGTACTGCATTAGACCTGAATTTCCGATTTAGCGAGATGACCGCCGCTCCTAGTGCCATACTTCTACTGCAACATATTGACGTGCGAATGGGGCCGCTACGGCGAGGCTTTTATCGACAACAGGATCGAATGCTGTCAAGCCGTTGTACGCCTCGCTCGAGGGCACTTTACCAGCTTATCTACCACTATAGTACTATGCAAGAATGTCTGCATTTGTAAGTTGACGCGTATCTATATTCCGCTGTGTGTGTAGGCGAAGGTAGCGCGATTGAATAATATAGTCAGATACTACGACTGCATTGATACTGTGCCATCTCATCAGTAGATATAGCTCTTCTACGTTGTGCGTATTCGTTTTGATCGTCGACATACATGTACATGTAGATAATGACGCTGAGGTTGCATCAAGGGGTGTACTGTAATAAGTAGTAGCTGGACCATGAGTACGGCGAGCTTATAACAATGGCAAGCTCGCCGCTGTTCAACCCTGCCAAGCTGTGTACAACCCGCTGAGATAAAGAAGATTGGTGTATTTACGCCTTCAGTTACATATTGATGATATTGCATTGTAGCTAGGAGGCCGGTTACCATTGGTAACTTACCAGCTTAGCTCTGCTTGTCAGGCGCTAACCACTGACAGGGCTCCGGCGTCGATCCTACCCTTTACACTGCTACCTGTTGCAGCAGTTCTACATGTTGGCTTATCTGAGATTTTAGTAAGATAGTGTTTGGCATCTACTAATAGCTCCGTTGTACGGCGTCTTTCTTGCTATTAGATGTAGCTTGCCCTATATTCCTTACCAGCTCGGCCTCATTTTTATCGCCTAACGGAGCCTCCGCCTAGCAACACGAGCTTTCATGACAGCCATACGCCAGTATTGGTGAGAATGCTTCCACGGGCAGCAACAACTAGCCGGCATGTAGTCACTATATACAGGTACACTACAGTGTGTACCCGCGCCCTGGTACTATTGCAACCTCGTAAGATGTTAGCTTAGAATAGGTGCGAGCTACTCCTTCTACGCGCTCAGTCGTTGCGCGCGGCACCCGGTGAATGTGGCACGCTGCTCGTTGCCGCCGCTAGAAAGCGATTAAAGCATGTGAGCATCAGGGCTCGCAAACGGTGCTGACCGGGTACCCGTACCCGCCCGTGTAGCCGTCCAAGCCGAAGTCGGGTACCCGTACCCGCCCGCCCACAAGCCACGGGTGTACCCGGGCCAGCCAGGGCTCAAGATTTTGTACGGACGGACCGACTGTTACATCTCCCGACACGGTTTTAAAGTTAAACATTTAAGTAGGAACTACGCGAAATCAATACAGAGTGAAAAGGGCTTGTGGAGGCTAAAAGAAGACGGCGTAGGAGCATGATATAGCTGGTATAAGTAAGAAATATTACAATTTAGTACTTTTTTCGTCAACTTCGGGTACCCGTGGCACCGCCCGAGGTTTGCTTCGGGTACCCGTACCCGACCCGAAACCGGGTATACCCGAGGCGGGTAGGGCGGGTACAAGAAACGGGTACCCGATTGCGAGCCCTGGTGAGCACACGCTTCTCGAACAACTCCACGTCGTAGCTGATGGTCTCGCGCCCGAGGTAGAATTGCACAGCGCGAGCCGCTTGGATGGCATGGAGTACTATGAGTTTGTGAATACTCTGGCGTGTATGACGCCCGTACATCTATTTCATGTTAGCACAAAGACTTCGTGGAAATGTGAAATTTCAAGTATGCTTGCTCCCAAACTAATCTGGCGCTCACGGTACTGCGTAAATTATAGGTCCGCAGCGGTCCTACTAATCTTGGTGAGCTGCATTCCCAAAACCCTCTGACGTATTTTTATCCAATCAACAGTACATGTACCTGCTCTAATAGGACCGCTGCGGACCTATTAATGCATCGGGCTGGGCTGGTAGTGAAAGGGTTAACGATAGAAAAATAGATTACCGGGGTGGCTCCTTGATCTTAGCTCTAAACATCAATCGTGCAGAGTCATTTGATAGACAAGTGTATGACTTCAGCTATAGAAGCACTCATTGTTCTCTCAGTTCCCATTTCGCATTGACCACTAAGCCAAGCAACAGGCCTTCCCACTCACCAAGCCCCAGTCCAATCTACCTGCAACATGGAGATGCCACTACACGCGATTAATTCCAGTGCGTACAATTGCAGCAGGCCCGTAGCATGCTAACTAACTAACTGGTTATACCACTCGACCCGGTAAGTCAAACACTGCGTACTAATCGCTTGGCTATCAGATACGACACTGAACGGGGGCCGTAGCTACCGGTGCGGCTGATCAGTGGTGGTGTTGGTCAGGAGCAGCCTGTGATCTCACGCATTGAAATACACGTCAATGGCGCGGAGAAGCGCAAGTATAAATGCAGTAGCTACGAGAATAAAAGTGTGATCGCCAGCGACACTGTGCAAGTTACAGCAGTTTTTTACCCTCGGTCTTGCGGAGGGGTGCCGTACGACGGGTCCATTTCGGATTCGGCTCAAAACCAGCACTTCTCAGAGTGGAAACACGCCGTATTACACAATTCAACATGCAGACAGTTCACCTGCTCCTGGCGGCGCTTGTTGTCGCTAAGGAAAAAGCTACACAAGCGACCACTACGTACTCACAGTGTTAACGAAGATAGAGAGCTACCAACTGACGAGACGAGAAGGAGGAGAACATTTTCGCACCCTCAGTTGTTGCAAATTGCGACTCGCAATCCTCAGGGGTCTCCTCGGGAAAATCACAGGTACCGTCATCAAGGGCTTCAGCCGTGTCCACGGCTGGAACCCGAATTTCGTGGAGAAGCTGAGCGCCGGAGGCACGATTTTGTTTATGAAATTTATTTGGAAAATCATAACTAGGATAGCTGCATTTTCTCCTTATAAGCTAACATTTACTCAAAATCATTGAAATAACAACTGACGGATTAGCGATTGAAAAATCGGAGAAGAACTCTGAATTTGCTTAAGTGTAGAGGAGAAGAACATTTCAACCTAACGTGCATCCCTTTCCTCTTTTGCTTCACCAATCTTTTTTTTTGTTGAAAACCTGAAATTTCAGAGCTTCTTCGGGCCGGAGGCACGACTTTGTTGTTCAGGAAGAAAAACTGCCCCTACCTTCTCTTACGATATTAAAGAGCACCATAAGCTAGTTTTCCTCTCCTTTTTTCCGTGGCTGTTGCCTATTGAATGCTTCTGACAGCCGTAATAGCACTTTGCTGGTCATCAGACCCCAATCCATCGTCAGTACTTAATCGAGTCTCAGTTTTTTTCACGCTTCGCGTCGAGGGGTCGATGGCGCTGAACAACCGAATTAAGTATACGTAGACTTGCTCTCTTATCGAGCTATGGTTTTCTCCATGAGAGTAGCCTTGAGGTCCGCAGGGCTGCACTTCTGTTTTCTTTACAGCCACGTAATGGCACCAACGTGTATACGTAATAAATTTGAGCAGATACTGCGACTACGTGCGAAAAGACTTCGTATGCGTAGGAGGGGAGACACTTTAGACCTCAGAGCTGCAGCGTTACTGCGGTACCTACGTCGGTGATAATAACTTGGCTTGTGTCCTTGGCAACAGACGTCATGAAAGAGGGAGAGGTCCCCCCAACCGAGTCTCCACCATTGCTCGTCGATGCTTCTGTCTGGTCACTTTCGCTTTAGACACTAGGCAGACCGTCAATCATGTTCGGACACGTACAGTTAGGGGTAAAGACTCGCTAACCATTGGGAATAAGTGCATGACGATCATGCTAACATTACTCAACGTACTCATATACTCTAGTATAGTACAATATATCGGCATACTAAAGGCAAGTATGGCAATATATTGGGGCAAATATTGATATTGGTACAATATTGATTGTGATGACTGCCTCGCCGACAATCAATATCCAATACGAGTAAATCACGGCGTGCTGCGTCATGACTGCTTGACGAAACACAGGCGACTCCGGGTGGTCGGGCGAGAAGATCCGCTGGATCGTTGGGTAGTTCTTGTTCTACTCGTGGTCTCTCGACAAGAATTGCGGGATGTTGTGTAGCTGGACGCGGTAGGCCAAGGTCGTCGTTGGACGTTAGCATGGACAGAAGCCCGGCCGAAAAGCTCGAGTGCACAGAGTAGCGCACAGGTCCGACCTCTTGCAGCTCGGCGTCTTCGTCAAAGCTCACAGGGTGCGAATTCACCTTGATACTAAGTGTGCCGGCGTTTCTACCGGCCATGGTGATCGGCAGGTCGAACGCAGTCTCCGTGGCATACATAGCGGTGTCGGCAATGAACTGCGCCTCGCCCAACTCGTCGTCGGCGTCCACATCCTTGTCGAACAGCGAAAGCTTGAACACCAACGAGTGCTGGACATTCTTGAAGACGAACTTCTCGTTCCACTCAGGCTTGAGCGTGTCGAAGATCGGCCGCGTCCAGGCCACTTTCTGGCCGTCGATCTCAATGTAAACGTACGCGTCCCTCGACGAGAACTCGCCCTTGAGAGCGGTCTTGAGGCCGAGGTAGTCACCGGTGTCGATGCCCTGGAGAACGAATGCAGTCGTTAGAATGGGGAGCAGAAGTGCAGAGATACGCTCGTGACCACACGCACCTTGGCCGACACAATCTCGAGTTCGATATCGAGCAGACTGTCCGGGGAATCGAACATGACGGGCATGCTGGTAGGGATAGTGGAGGAAGCTGCTGCTTGATGGCGGCGGGGGAAGTTTGGGTCTGATCGGTGCTGGCCAGGACCACAAAATTTGTGAGACGGCGCAAACAAAATCGTAACAGTAGCGCTGCTCGAGTCTCTTCGAGGCTCTTCGCGCACGAGGTCTCTAGCCTTCTGCTCGCATGATACTTCAAACCTGCGTTGCTCTTTTTGGCTTGGCTCCGTAGCAATTGCATCACGCGATCGCAGCAATTCCATGCGCACATTTTCTGCTATGTTGTCCTCTGCTCCACAAATACTCAGCATTGATCACCTCTTTCTACTGCGGGGATCC